GACATGATGCAGTGCATGCTTGATATGTCATTTGGGAGTTGGGAGGGGCCGGCTCCTTCACTCAATGAGTTTGTTGATTGGCATCAAGCTGGCCTTCTCATGCACAGATGCTATGACACCTTCAGGAAAGGGCAGGATCGCTGTGCAGCTTTCGAGGCAGGATTGATGGTGCGCTACGACGGGAGTAATCAGAAGTGGGGTGTAGGTGAAGGATTGACGCCGACATCGCCAGCGACAACAAATGAAGAAATCAGCGGCAACAACAGCTTCAACATCAACAATGATTGCAACGACAACAACAGCAATAACATCATCAACAGAGGCGGCAGTTGTAAAAACATCAACGATAACGTCGACAACAACAGCAACAATAACATCAACAACAACAACAACAATAACAATCAGTTCAAAAATATTATCTACAGTGTCTTTGGCGTCAGAGATGACAACCGTGGAGATAAAACCGATAGCAAACGGATGGACAACAATGACGGTGCTGTGGAGATTGACACGCTGACAATAACAGCACCAACAACATTAACAGCAACGATAGGGATGGCAATGGTGGTGATGTCAAGGACGATATGAAGAATGACTGCGGGTGCAGTGGGACGACCAGAGCCGTTGGTTGGCAGCGGATGGGCGTGGGTTAGTCGGTGGTGTGTGGAGTTGCCCGATCCGCAACTCCAATCAGGATGGGGCGGTGGTGGCCCCTCTGGCGGTAGGGGGATAGTTTTGGGTTTTCTTTGTCATCCCTTATTCGTTTCGAAAGATTACTATACTGTGGTGGATGATTGTTTCTCAGAGTGCATGATGAGGATGCTTGTCATTAGGGGTGGGGTCGCTGGGAAATAATTACGGTTTCTGACCCTGTTGTGATTCCCCCCCCCTCGTTTGCTGTTGAATAGTCTATCTTTCGGCGGATGGGTGGTGCAGGGTAGGGTAATGAACGTACAGTTTATGAGCAATTAATCCCCACCTAGGAGGGCAATCGATGCTGCTCATCATTACACATCAGATTAAAGTGTATACACTACAAATCGTCACAAACTTTTGTTTGTACAATCAAATGATTACCGTGTTCAGGGACGCTGGACCCGTTTTCCAGCAGGTGCTGCTCCCCACCAATAGATGGGGCCTCCCCGACGGCGCTAGTGGTGTCTGCTCCTACAAGCACCCCTAGCGTTAGCTCGGGTTGTTTCTAGAAAAAAAAAAAAAAAAAAAAAAAAAAAGATTTTCAGTATTTTACTTGCTGTTGTGTAATTATCTCATTTGGGTGGAGCCCTCCTTCAATCACGAGTATATGGAGGGTGTCAGGATCACTGCTGACAGAAGTAGAGTCTATTCCAGAAAATATGGCGGTTATTTTGTTCACTGTTGTTGCAACCACCACCATCAGATCATTTGTGATCTAATGGCTGGGAAGCACTCTGCCGTGATTTCCAGTGCGAGGTCTCTGTTTCTTTTTTTTTTCTTTTGCCTTTCTCCTGTTTTCTCAGCCAAGAAATTCGTAATGAACCTGTCAGCCTGCTGCCACTCGGTCGTCGCACTGGATCCGCCACACTCATATCCGACTGCTAATGGGACCTCGCCCCTGGGGTCAAGTCCCACTTACACCGTTGAGCTGAGCTAGCTCTACAGTGTGACACAGCTTTCGCAAATTAAAAATTCAAAAGAAATGCAAAAAAAAGAGGAAAAAAAAAATGCTGCTGGAAAATTTTCTCCCTATTTTCCAACAAGTCAAATGAAGAAACAAATGCTTTTGTCTGTATTTTCAAAAAAGTTAAATGGAGAGACAACCCTCAGTGAAATGCTCCTCATACTAAGAGGTGGACCCCACTGCCTTGCGACAAAGCTTTGGAAGACAATTTGTGAGACCCCACTGCTTCACGGCAATTTGCCGGCAAAGCTTCGGAAAACGCTGACAAACAGTGTGGCAAGCGTTTCCACTCAGTTTGGTTTTGCTCGTTCCTTGCGGTTCGGTCATCCTGAGGAGGTGGGGGTGGGGGTGGGGGCGGGGGGGGTGGGGGAGAGCACCTCCCTGGGTTTGGGCACCAAGACAAGAGGATGTGAAGTTTCTGTATAAGGAGAGTTTTCTCTAACGGGTAACCAGCAAAGATGGACCTGCCAAAAATTCGTGCTGCAGTTGGGTCCGCTTTTCTGTTTCCCATCGCCGGGGCCTACGATATGGGTTTGGCAGAAGCTTTCCACCTCGAAAGCTTCCGCCAGGCAGTGAGGTCCAACTCTAATACTATGCAAAGTTGGAGACAGGGACCTCACTACAACGTGAAACGAACGTGGACAGTACTCCTGGCTTGGTGCATTCAAAGCCCAAATAAAGGAAACGAATTTGGGGCTGCACGGCCAAAGACAGCGTGAAGACTCTCTGTCAGAGTGTCCTCCCACGAGGAGGTCACTCTGACATGATGGCACAAGCACCGTTGAACCCATACCCCACTCCGAGTGGGGTCGTTCGACCGAAGATCGGCGGGGTAGGGGGTGTTCTATTCGGGTGGAGGGATTTTTTGTTTCTTTTTTAAAGAGGGGGGATTTTTCAGCACCTCTCTCGAACCAAAAAAAAAAAAAACAATAGCCTTTTCATTTTTCACACCTAAAACAACCGTTAGATGCGCAGCTTCCGATGCATCTGCAACATCGCGTGGGGTCACATGTGTTGAGCTAGTTCAACGTTGAACTGGCTGAACGGTGTACGTGAGACTTGGCCCATGGAAACAAAAACAAGGAAAGTCTTCTTTCGAAAACACTTTCCGCCAAGAAGAAACATAAGTTGATCTCGACAAGTGTCCTGCATTCGTCTTACCGTCTTAAGGCCATACTAAGTATTACTCACACTAGCGACTTTCTACATGTATCTGACCCCAATTACGGCCAAACCTGGATGCTCCTGACTGTAATCTTTCAGTCGGAAAAAAACTAGGGTGAGAATACTCTTACTTGTCATCGCGTCCACAGTTCAGACGGAAAAATACTAGGGTGAGTATGCTCTTACTTGTCAGAGTAGAAACGAGTGTGTTGCTTTCTCATATTGTGTGTTCAATTCCTCACAGGAGTAGTGGAGAAAAGGAAGGGTAGCTTTTGTTTTTGTTTTTTGTTTTTTTCGGGGGGGTGGGGGGGGCATATTTCACATGTATTTCTTAACCTGTCACTGCATCAAATCTATTTCGTCAAACCTCGTTTACGCCCGAGCTGGACTTGCCAAGCCACCGGCGGCCTGGAAACACAACAGAAGCCACTACAACAGACCCCAGACGCCTTCAATGACCATCCTGATCATCATCAGTTGTTCCGGGTCGGTCACCACAGTTTCTTTCCACAGCCCTAGTAGACCGATACCAGGCTGCTATTACATCCTCCCCTTTTTCTATTCCCCCCCCCCCCCTCCTATGGACCATGGACCAGATATTAAACTGATCAGAACAGATCATCCACTTTATCTATTTTTAGCCAAAAGACCAAGAAATGTATGTGCTGCTGCATCCTCCTTTTTCTTTCTTTTTTTTCATTCGACCGTTTCTCCACTTCATGTGTCTCATGCTTGCACAGGTGCCATTCTAATCTTCTATTCATCATCCTTGCTTACGGCCACAAAGAATAAAAAGGCCATGTGGTGCAGTAACAGTCTAAACCACCACTGCCTCCTGAAAGCCAGGACAACAGAGCGATACAGGCAATCGATAACGCGCCTTTGCCTTCGGCCTCAGTAAAGGCACCAAGAAGTGCAAATCTACACTACACCTCCGAAAAGGCACGAAGAAGTGTGAGTCTAACACTACACAAGCGCAAATCTACACTACATAATCATTCGCCACCAACAATCAGGCTCCTGCTGCCAGAGTGCAAAAAAGAAAAGTGGTTATCCAATTATCATATCAATCAATCCAACAGACCACCTACCTGACAAAGCGCAAGCCGCCTGCAGCCAGTGGGCAAAACCGAAAAGCGTAATCAGGTCCGTTGTGAAAGACAGTGATCGTAAAGCAGTCAACGAGGCAAAGGGCAAGGAGGAGCACAACTAAACCACGAGCGTTGTTCTTAAATTTATTATCTTATGAAGTTACGGGAAGGCAGACAATTGATTTCACCATTGACAGCACGCTAAACTTTTTCTTTTTTCCTTCTCGTCTCAAAACACCAGCGCAGCGCTTTTTATTTTGGCTGGCACCGCCAGCCATTTTGGTCCAGTTGGCCCAAGCCTCCGCAAAATTTTCAGATCTGGTTCCATTTCGATTCTCAAGTTTGCCTCGGCGATACACTCTCTCTCGGTTTGAACCACCAGTACTTCCGAAAGTCCGCGGCATTATATGAGCCGCTACGTGCTCCTATGAACCGGCCTGGACCGGAGCGCCCAAATTCATTCAAGTGGAGGCGATTCAGCTTTTTGTTTTTCTCCCGAGGCCGATATATGGTCCAGGTACTGGTGGTTTAACAGAGTGTAAGAGGAACACGTGTGCCCTCTAGATCTAGTGAAGCGCTCGTGTCGCAGTCCTTGTCCATTACCTGCTCCGCTATACGCAAAGAGACGACCGCCGCTAGTGGAAAACAAAATTGAATCCACAGGTGCAAATTCTTTTGGAGCCCATACTTTCCAAAGATCAGGGTAACTTCTAAGGCATCTTCATTCTGGTTGGAAATTGGAATAAAACCACCAGTACCTTTCCCATACGTCAGCCACGGACACTGCGCGCCGGACCGAAAATCAAGAAATCGAATCAGCGGCCACCCTTCGGTTTCAGGCCAGCGTGTTATAGCTGGGAAACGTATTGGTGGTTTAAAATGGGACCAAGGGTCCTTAGGAACATCGTAAAATTGGAATGATACACAGAAGATTAGGATGGCAATTGTGCAAATGGTGGTGACGTGCACAAATCAACGGAGGAGGTTAGAGCTTTTCCGTTTCCACTGCACTGCGCATCACGCTCGACCATCAAAGTTCCTATCACGAAAAAAAGAAAACATCGGGGTTTGTGTCCGACACATACCAACTGCAACTGAGTACACCATGCGTATCTAGGTTCTTCAACTCCTTCAGGGTCTTCTGCTTAAGTCCACCTCTTGCCACTGGACCCGCTGCCATTCTTGCATTTGTGAAATCCTGGTAGCAGGAATGCAGCACAAACAATAAGACAACCCTTAGGGATGGCTACCCTCCAATTCTGTTTCTGTCTTTGACCGGGTTCTGATTTTTTATTGCTTTATCCAAGCCAGAGATCAGACTACCTACCAGGTGGCTCTCTCTCTCTCTCTCTCTCTCTCTCTCTCTCTCTCTCTCTCTCTCTCTCTCTCTCTCTCTCTCTCTCTCTCTC